CCCCCCCCCCCCCCCATTTTTTTCAATACACTTCTACATTCAAGGTTACCCGAATTTTGTTGCAACCTACGGTCGAGGATATCCTGGTTTTGCCCCCAGTTATAGTTATCAGTTCCCAGGTATGTGAACTTTTAATATCGCACATTTCACAAAAACACATTTCCAATCTGTTAAGGCTGCTTCCCCAGACACATGGTATAGGCAGTAAGTCCTAGAGGACTTACTTCAGAGTCGCTCCATTGTGAAGTCCCTGAATGAGCTGAGATAGAAGAAGAATCTGTACCAAAGCAGTGCTCTGTATGTTTCAGCGGAGGAAAGCTCCACAACTCCCAGTGTGCCCCAGTGAACATAGCTGGGAATTGTGGCCTTTTTCTCTGTCTAAACCTCGGTAGGATTACACCCTAAAAGGGAAGAGTTTTGGGGATGGAATTTCCACTTATTTTCAGTTAATGTACAAAAAAGAAGTCTTTCCATTATCCTTTGCAATTGGAAACAAAGTTTCCTGGGAAGGGGGGGGAAAGAAAGTTTGAGTGTTAATTGGTACTGGTTATTTAAATACAACCTTCTTCAGACAAGCAAAGATCAGTCCTGATCCGCGTTTGGACATCTTTTTTGGTCGTGAGTCAATTTGTTGTGTTACGCAAACGGCTCCGTAGCACACGTTGCAAAGACGAGACGTCAGCCTGCCGCTTTCCCTGTTTGTTTCTGCTTCCCTTTTGCTTCTGCTGTGCACAGCTCTGCTGCATTTAGCAGCCTCCATCCACTCCGAGTTTAATACCGCTTGTCGTCACTTTGAGAACTCCTGAGGTATTGAAATGGTAGGCTAGCTGGCTTTTAAACATCCCCTCCTGCCGGTAATGAGAGCCCCTTCTATTTCATCTCTGCTGCTATCAACAGGCAGTCACTGAAACCAAATGCCCGGTATTTTGTTTTATGCCGGCAATGCTTCAAGCTTTAAACCAGAGATGACAGAAAGAGTTCAGTGTGTGGTTGTTTTCCGCCTGTTCCCTGCCTCGGGATTTGTGGGGAGGGCCATGAAGCGAATTTCTGACTGGGCTAAAAGCAAGGGCCACCTGGAGACCACGGTTAGGAGACTTGTGCTGCCTGCTGAAATTCATTAATGTGTATCAGAAGGGCAAGGTAAAGCCATTTTGCCCTGCTTTTTGTAATTATGTACAAAGGAAATGACAAAACCCAGCTTTGCTTGCATTAATTATTACACCTGAGTTCTGCTCCTACCGGAGAAATGTTAGGTACAGAGAAAACTAGCACAGCCTGAAACAGGGCAGTCTTCTCCAACCTGTTGTCTTCCAGGTGTGCAGGAGAACAACTCCCATCTTCTCAATTGGGTTTGCTGGCTGGGGATGATGGGAGTTCGAGCACAGCAAACAGACACTCAGGTGGGAAAGCTTGAACTACAGTGATATGCATTGCAAAAGCAAGCCGCATTCACTGGGTTAATCATTTCTGAATTCTGCAGAGGTGAGAATACTTCATACACCTCGATTTTGTCCGTACAGAATAAGGCCTGGCCGGAGTTTTAGAGGACTTGAACTTTTGCCTTCTGGCTGGCACATTCACTGCTGTGTTGAGCAACACTCTGGCCACAAACCGCTACATGTGTACTAGATAGAATGGTGGAGATCTGTGGCCAAGTCAGTTTCTCCTCTTGGGGAAGCCAGCAGAAGGGGAAGGCGCTGAAGGAAGGGATGAAGCCCAACCATCGCCCAACGTTTCTGATCTTGCCATGGCTAGTGTTTCCTAAAATGTTTAGGTTGTTAGGAGATACGGAATCAGATCCTAACATCCAGTCTGGTTTGTTCCTTACATTGCAAACATTTGGAGATTAGCATAGAATAGGAGAGTTGGAAGGGGCTAGAGGGCCATTGGGTCCAGCCCCTGCTCAGTGCTGGACGCCCAGCTAACCCACCCCTCTTAGGTGGCTGTCCAGCTGGATCTTGAACGCCTCCTGTGCGGGAGAGCCCACCACCCCCCTAGGTCATGGGTTTCATCATCACACTGCTGTTACAGTCCCGATGCTTTTTGTGATATTCTGCTGGAACCTGGCTTGATGTGATTTGAGTTGGGACAAGGAGAAGAGATCCTGGCTTCCCTCTTTCTGTCAACCTTTCAAATACTTGACGAGTGCTATTATATCTCCTCTCAGTCTTTTATTGAGGCTAAGCATGCCCAGTTCCTTCACTCTCTCCTCATAGGGCTTGGTTTCCAGTCCCTGGATCATCCTTGTTGCCCTCCTCTGAACCCTTTCCAGCCTGTCCACATCTTTCTTAAACTGTGGTGCCCAGAACTGGACACAGGACTCCGGAAGAGGCCTGACCAGTGCTGAGTAAAGGGGAACTAGGACCTCAGGGGATTTGGGAATGATTCTTCTGTTCTATTCTTCTGTTCTATTAATGTGGCCTAAAATAGCACATGCTCTTTTTGCAGCCGCATCACATCGTTGGCTCACATTCCGCTTATGACCTACAATGCCAAGATCCTTCTCTCTTGCAGGACTGTTGAGCCAAGTATTCCCCACCTTGTAACAGGTTATATCCTTCAGTTGCTGAAGTCCAGCCATGGGAGTTTCAGTTAATACCTATCAGGTCATATTCACCCTCCTGTATTAAAGGGTTCAAGTTCATTCTGTTCTGTTTGTTTCCCATATTCCAGGCATTAGTATAATGACATCAAAGACCACTTGCTTTAAAAGGGGAAACATCTTCTGTACTTGCTACATCCCTGACCACCTGCTAAAACCCCTTCCTCTATTATTCTCTCTTGTTGGAAGCTCTTCTAGAACCATGGTACACCTCACTGATTTACCTGCAGCCGTGTCTCCCACTTTATATTAAAAAGAAAGAAGGTGTTTGTCTCTTACAACAGGGAGTGGCCTTTCTAGTGCTTCTGCCTACAACTCTTATCCTCCCTCACCATTGACTGTGCTGGCTAGGGCTCATGGGAGTTGTAGTGCGAAACATCTTGAGGGCCTCTGCTTGAGCCAAACTTTCGTTGTTACGTGCCAACAAGTAACCTCTGACTTACGGTGACCCTCTGAATTGAGTGCCTTCCAGATTGCTCTGACCTGGCAGCCTTGTGAACTCAAGGCTTCTGAGATGGAAGCAATCCATCTCAGAGTTGTTCTTCCTCCTCCTCCTCCTCCTCCTCCTCCTCCTCCTCCTCTTCTCCTGCCTTCAGCTCTCCCTTGCATGTGATAAAGAGATGCTAGGAAAGCACGTTGTATGTTGCCCTGCAAAGTGTGATTAGTAGTTTGGAATAAACCTGAGCAGCTGCAACATGCGATGATGTGCCCGGCAGAAGCGCCTTTGTGTTCACATCCGTGTGAGCGTGTTGGAGACGAGACGTCCCGCTCCTCTTGTCCGATGCTTCACATCGGCAAAACCGGCCGCTTGTGCAACGCCACCGTTCAGACGCCCTGGAAAGGCATCCCTGAACCCTTTTTCAGAGGCAAAATGCACAGTCAGCAATATTTGTCTCTTGGCCCAGAAACTGGGGAATTGGGGCCCTTGGGTGCAAGTCCCACTGTGATGCCTGGAAGCACCCGTACTGGGAGGCATCCTCCCGTCCTCCGCCTGCATTTTCCGCTAGTTGGAGATTTTTGCCAGCCTAGCTGCACCAGGCAGGAAGAAGGCTGGGACGACTTCGGGATGCCTCTTCAGTCACTCTCTTCCTCCCAAATGCCCCACTCTCCCTGTCTCCGAGGTCACTTTCCTGAATTCAGAGAGCTTCTACCACTGTTCTTCCTGTGCTGGCTGAGAGGAGAGGACTGAAACTCCTGCTGTTCCTCCTGTTACCCCTCAAGTACCGTCTGGGGGCCTTATAATCGTTGTCTCTGAGTGTATGTAAAATCCGTTCTTCCTCTTAACAGCTTTCCTTATTTCAGTCAGCAGCCCACTGCTCCATCCCAGGAGTCTCAGTGAACTATCGGCATAACTGAGATCGAATATTTCATTTACCAGCCACCAGGTGCAGACATAAATATAAAAAGGGATATGCACACGCTGTGGAAAATACACCTTGTAAAAGGAGAATACATCCCATTTTTCAAAGCAGGATCAAACCGCAGGTCTGCATTATGGTTAGTCTTGCCAGGATATAGCTTCATTTAAACATTTTATTTATTTATTTATTTATATCTAAAGTTCTTATAAACCGTTCTTCAGCGGACACTCTAGTGAAACTTACCCAGGCATTAAAGTATGTGAGCCCTCATGTAAAGTCACCGGCATTTCTTTAAAGAATGTCCAGGTGTGGTCGGGTTTACGTTTATTTGAAATCACTGCTGGAAAATACCTTTGGAGTTTCCTCATCTTCAGTGATGGTGTCCACCTGAAATGAAAATGTCACTCTAAAGGGGAGAGAAAGAACCAGCTGCAGTGCTCTTGGTCATCAGAGCCATGTGCTCATGTGCTGTTGCTCATGCGCATTTATTTGTTGTGTCACCCTAGGCAATTCTGGACTCTAGAACTTAAGGCCAAACCAAGCTTTGGGTGCAAATGTCTGTGTTTCAACCCTCCTTCCTCCTTAGAGAGGGGATTTTCAACAAAGTAGGTGCTTACCTTTTTTTCTCCCAACCTGATGGAATTCCAAATGTGTATTTCTAAGAGTCATATGGAATCAGTTTGGGGACAAAATCAGTTGGAAAGAATTACAGTGAAATTCCATAGAGTCATGGACTTTGTCCAAAGATAGATCTAGGCAGAGTTCCTCTTCCCCATCTAACTTCCAGTGCCTCCTTTGACCAAATCACGTGTGACATTGTCTAGGTCCAGGGTGGGCAGGAATTAGTTCTCCAGAAGTTTGGGACTTCAGCTTCTAGCAGTGCTGATCGTTGGTCATGCTGGCAGGGACCTCTGGGAGCTGAAGCGCCGAACATCTGGAGTTCTGCTTTCTCCCCACTGTCGGTCTTGTGAGCTCTCATGCATATGAACTGAGGATGCAACATGTATATTTACTTGTCTCCTTACAATTATGTGTATTCCACATTTTGCAATAGAAAGCCTTCCAAGGCAGCTTCTTACGAATGTCAAGATACCGTTTTTAAAAACTCCATAAACAGTGTCACCAACCAGCAAGTCATCAGCACCCTTCCTACAGG